TGAACCCATAATAAATTTTATATATATCTATATGCTATAATTATTTTAATTAAAAAAAAATAGTTATTTGAACTCATTTATGTACATTTTAAGCAAAAAATAATTTTTCTCTCGCTGAAAAAAAAATTGGTACTGAAAGGGTTAAATAGTGCGTACGAAATGGGATTGAAAATTTATTTCGGTTTTTTAATTTCATTAGCTGCTTTCTTGACACTCTGACAAGGTTTCAGCTTTTCTATAAAGCTAGATCCAAATAAAAAATCATCAATTTGACTTTGTTGCGCAGCGGTTCTGCTCTCTCCATTAATAATTGGTTGAATTTCAAATTTTCTTTTTATAGAAATTGCATGATGTGTGCTGGTAAATAGTTGTGCAGCGTCTGCTAACTTTTGTAATTTATCATCATCCAAAGTTATATCGGAGTTAGGTTCCATAATTTTTAAATTTAAAATTTGTTCGATTGCGGCCAGTCCAGCTCCAATTTGCTCCTGCAGGTTAGTTACAAATTTATCATGCGTTTGAATTTGAACAGATACAATTGATTTAATCTCTTTATTCATTTTGTGAGATAAAAGCACCGCACAATTTTCAGAAATCTGAAACTTTTTGACGAGTTCTTTTCTCGTTTGAAAGGTAAATCATCCACCGTGATACTAACTCTTCGTGAAATTTTGGACACACTTGAATAGAAATAGAATTTGTTCATCTTTGAGAATTATACACTATACAAAGACACTAGGTACATAATGTAAAATCCTATCAGACTAGTCAAAAAAGTGTTAAGTAAAATACATTAAAAAATAAAATAAAATATATATAATAGAAAATTTATGTTAAAATTAGTTTAAAAGTTCAAAAAATCTTCTATACTATAAAATACATTATTTACAAGAAAATCATTAAGATGTTTTCTTAAATCATTACGACTGATTTGATGATAACCTGTAGTATCTTCTAATATGTTACTGAACTTATTGTAACACTTAATCCCAATATATTTTGGTGGACGCTGGCTTATTTGTAGTCGTGAAAAAGGTTGAAGGATGTTAAATTTTAATCTAGTATCATATGAGTGAAGGTCTTTATTTTCCTTAAATATATGCTCATTATCTTTTATGTATAAAATTAGTTGAAAAATAAAAAGGGAAGGTAGTATTAAAATTTGCGTTTTCTTGAAAAGTTCTTTACATGATGTTGGTGTCACCTTATACATGGCTCTCAGAACCTTCTTTTGAGATACAAAGGCTCTTTCAAAGAATGGTGAAGAACCCCAAAATATTAACCCATATTGTAGAGTTGAATGAACCAAACCAAAATAGCATAGTTTTAAAGTAACAAAAGATAGTGTCTCCCTTAAATTTTTGATGATATAACAAGTACTTAATTTTGAAGTTACCATTTTTATATGAGCTTCCCAACTTAATTTGGGATCTAATATTATTCCTAAAAATGTTATGTCATCAACGCTTTGAATAGTTTTTCCGTCAACGTGCAAGTAGGGTTCGTAATCTGGTAATATGTTTTTGGGTAGAAATTGCATGAAGTTTGTTTTTGTTACATTTAATGTCAGACCGTTATCTTTACAATACTGTTTAAACTCACGAGATGCCTCGTTGCTACTTTGAGTAACCTGTTCAATTTGATCATCTGCCATTACAATATTGGTATCATTGGCATATTGAACTATTTGTTGAGAGCTTAAACAAAAATTACTTATATCACTTATAAAAACTATAAAAAGAAGTGGGCCCAAAATTGAACCTTGGGGAACTCCTATTGTACATGGAAGAGGATCAGATTTTAGACTATTTGTTACAATTACTTGAGTTCGATTTATTAAGTAAGACTGTATCCATTCATAAGGTTTCCCTCGTATTCCTAACCCATTCTTTTTCAATAATAAAAGATTATGATCCACCATATCAAATGCACGGCTAAGGTCACAAAAGAGTCCCAAAATATGTTTTTTATCATTGAGTGCTTGATATATAAACTCTAGGCAAGCTGCAATTGCAGTAGATGTTGACTTATTTTTTCTAAATCCATTTTGAGTATCTGGCAACATATTAAAATTTTCAAGGTAATTAGTATGTCTAATAGAGTATGCGACATAAATATTTTAGTTATTTTACTAGATATACAGATTAAACGATAATTTTTTATTTAGATGCAGATTCCTTATTTTTGTAAACAGGAATTCCTTTAGATTCCTTTATATTTGGGAATATCCCCGAAACAAAGGATTCATTAATCAAATGTGATATGGGTTTAGCAATACAATGAGCGGCCGATAACAGAATTTTACCATTTATTTCGTCAATACCTTCAGTGGGTTTAGAAAAGAGTTAACATATTCGGATTTGTTCCTAGAAAAGAGGGAACAGTATCAGGCACCTTCTGTTTTGGATTGTCAGTAAACTGACCTAAAGCTAGTATATCTTCTTCACGATTGTCCGAAGATGAACAGCTTAAATCTGTTTAAAAAATAGCAAAGTTATATTAATTAATTTTAATTTTTTTTTACAAATGTAACCGTAATGGGTTTTAGTCAAGAAAACTACATTGCTACACTGTTAGTTTTTACAGACCAGAATCTGCGGGTTGTCGTAGTCAAAAAAACTCGCTATTGTTTATTTAGCAGTAGTTTGTTGCAGGCATTTTTAGTCAAAACGAACTATAACTGTAAAACTTCTAGTCAATATAAGTCCTAAAAAAAGAAATAACTAACCTTCGGACTCGCTATTTTCCGAGGAAGAGCTACTGGAACCTAAAACTTTTTCCATTCTAGCTATCTCTTTCTTTAAATCCTTAAATTCCTCATAATTTTTTCTATTTTGATGATTTTTTGTCACTAAACTGATACACACGATACGTTATTAGGGGCCAGCTGTGGAAGACAGTTTTTGTTTCTTTGAACCGCTGTGCATGATTCACAATAAGGTGTACCTAACAAATATCATAGAAGGACGTAAAGAATAATTACCCAATAAGTGATATTTTTTGTGACCAATACGATGTAAATTCTTTCACATTGGAATTATTTCAAATATACTTATCATTTGTACTTCCAGGATACCTGGCATTAACATTTAATATTTTCATTTTGGAAATACAAACCTAAAAATCAAGGCCTAGGTATAAGAAAAAGTAAAAAAACATATGTTAATATTTTACCAATTGTACATTTATAGTGATATCCTTTTCTATTCACATAAATATGCTCAGGATAAATTGAATCTTAAGTTTTAGGAGAAACTGGTGCAACATGTACGCAATCAATTGCACCTCAATACCTGGAAATCCAGCCATATTGAAAAAATAAAATACTACGCCTGTTAATAGTCCACTATTTTTATTTATTCTTTGATTTATTAATCACAAAAATATGTCAAGACAAATTTTAAAATACCCTAAAAATTTACTATATACATATTTATATAGTCAAAAAAGTAATTATATTTACAATATACAGTATATAAAGTAATTAAAAGAAATAGTACAACATATAGATATTTTATAAACTAATTTTTACATATTATGAAGGTTTTATAAAAAGTACATCACACATATACAAAAATAAATGTATAAAATATTTAACGATAGTTGTTGCAACCCGCTGTAAGAGTTTTTTCTAAAAACGATACGGGCGAAGTACTGTAACTACATTGTAGTTTTGGAACTATTTGGATGGACACATTCAATCAATTAAAATTAAACTTCCTTACCAGGTGAGTCATTCAATTTTTCAATTTTAAGGTTCACTGAGACTGCTGTAGACTCACTTATAATGGATAGCTAAGTCTCAGTGAACCTACAAATTAACACAGCTGGAGGCCCAGTCATACCATATAAACATATTATATTAGGAACCTATACAGGATGTCTTATTAAAAAAAGGAACACGTAATAATTGAAGATTCTCTAAATAAAAATAAGACGATTAAACGAAACATGCTTTTATTGAATATGACTAGTTTTCGATAGTTCAATTCAAAAATTACTAATGGCTATAATGTTTTTATTTCTCAGTACAATTTTACTAAATTCTGCAAATATTTTTGGTGTCATAAGACACACCTATTAGCAAAACAATTGAATAAAACTTAGCCACTGGCATACGGAATTGATAAGTAACACCCTCAAAACTTATTTGGGATGAAAGTGTTACTTATCCATGCTGTACATTACTCCTTTGTAGTAAACAATCAGTACTTTTTTTGCGTACTGATTATATACATACTGTCCCATTTCCTATCTTTAAAAATGGTAAATTATTATGTAATTACAGGACCTCATGTTTTTGGGCGGATTCTTCTTTTTATGATTTTGGATACATTTTTCTGATAGTTTCTTCTCTTTAACAGACCATTTTTTCTAGCCACTAATGTTTTCTTTATTTTCTGACATTTAAACTAACTTCTTGTAGTGAGCTGTTTTTCTCAACTAGCAGGTCTTCTATTTGTCTGTACTATGGATCTGAATTATTTTTCGTTTCTATTATCTTAGTTTCTACTTTGATTTTATTCAAACTTCGTTCTTTATATTGGTTTATAGAATTAGTTTGGGATAGAAGTAAAATTTTGGAGACTTTGGCTGACCGATAAATATCTGATGGTAATCTATACCAAGTGTTATGGATTTTGCTGGTATGATCCATGAATGTTGCCAATTGTTCTAAATCTTCAATGCCCCTTTTTAATATTTGTGTGATTGTTGCAAGATGTTTGTCGATGTTAAAGAGAAAGTTTTATTTGGATCATCTAAAACTGAAGTAGAGTGCCTTCTGAATATATTATATCCATGATTATTCATGATTCAGTGTGACATATACCAAACAAATATGGATTACAAACTTATGTTTAATTGTCAAATCTACGCCATCTTTTGTTATTTCATCGACTAACACAGGCACACATCGTCCTCTTTTACCTTTAATCACAATCTCTTAAGTTTTTGTTTAAGAATGGTCTCAGTAGGTGAAATCAATTTTTCAAATTCTCCTAACGATAGGTTCCTTCAATTAATTGTTCGTATGTTGCCTCATTTGTAGAATTTGAATTTAATTCAGTTTTTTCTTTGGCAATTAATACATCTAAATATTTAATTTTTGAGATATCTTCTGTTTTAGGCAAAGTAGTAGTTTTGATAAACCTATTTATATTTAGTCCTGCTTCTAAAGAAACTTCTGTAGCCCTTTCTTCTTCAATTAATTCTTCATTGAATTTAAAACATTTTAAATAGTTGATCCGATTTTTTTGTATTTCTAGATAATAGGCACCACCAATTGCCTTTTTCAGTAATGTTCCCGTCTTCAGAGCCAGAGGTTTTATAATCTGCAGTGTTGTTGCTACAAATGATTTAAATTCGCTTGGGTGCAAAATAGGCAAAAGAGACAAAGATTTATCGTTTTTAATGTTGCGCACCTCAATAAGAAGACAAGCAAGTGGTCTCATATATGTCCTGGCGACAAAAATTAGGTGTTTGTCTTTATGTGATCTACCTTTAGTTACCATAGATACCTTATCTGCTTCAAGTGAATTTAGTATTCCTGATGTACGAAAAGGATCATTTGGCTCAAAATGATCTGACATTAAAGTATAACTTTCTGCTTAAGAGCGTTGCCGTTTAAAAGTTCCAACTTCTTTATTAAATGTACAACGTTTGACATGCCTTCTAAGAGTTTGCGTGGAGTAATATCCCCAACAATGCATACAAGGAAGTACCGCAAAAGTATTTTTATCGTCGTCGCTTTTTACTTCGTTACATTTAACGTATTTTCGTTTTTTTATTTTGGACTGGAACTTATTCGCCAGAACAAAATCTCTTTCCTAACGGATTTTATTAATAGCCTGTTTACGATTTAAGCTGCCCTTTCTTGCAACATTATAAACCATCACAGTAGATACATTTGGTTTTTCTTTTTTTCTCCAGTATTAGGGGATACCGGGGCAAGAAGATCCGCTTAATAGTTTTGGCTTGAGATGTCACATCCATGTTGTTTATTTTATTATATTTTTGGTTAAGTTGGTTTTGAGATTTTAGACAGTATGTCGACATATGCAAAGTAATCGTTTTGCCCCACTACTCGGGACAAAATGATTCACTATGTAAAGTAGATAAAATTTCCTTTTTTATTTTTTTTTTCAACGCTAAATTTGTGGATATAAAACTAGCAAGTCGTTTTTCAAGCATTTTTAATGAAAATAATCTAAACGAAACGCTAAAAACAGAAAAATGTAGAAATCCTAAAAGTATTCATTTTGCCCCGCTACTCAGGACAAAAAAGAAGTTAAAAAAACTAAATGAAACTCACATACATAAAAGTAAAAAAGATTAATCTCCGTTTACATAAACGTACGAAGTTCATTTACAATTTAATTAACTTTTTTTTCGTGGAATATGTCTATAGTTACAATTAACCTCACATATGTAGTTGTCGTCGTTCTCGTCGACACCGGCACAGGCGCCATGAGCCCAGAAGGAACAGGAGGTACATTGAATCCATCCTTCATCAGAAGAAGTTGCATATTTTTCACCAAAAACCATACACTGCGTGTCGTCATCTTCCTCTAATGAGCTGGACGTATAAACATTACCATCTGGAGATGCACTCTTTGAAGAGCTTGATTTCTTTGAGGCTAGCTTGTTGACCCCAGTTTGCTTCTGTTCGTTTTTTTCTTTTCTTCTTTTTTTCATTAGGTCAGCTCGTTCTTTTTTCTTACAATCTGTTTCTAATTCATATGATTCCTAAATACTAAAGTCACTATAGCAGGAGTAATAATTTAAACAAAACCTATTTAAATTATGATATGACTATCTCTGGCTTAAATAATGTTTATTATGTACCATGGTGTGAAAAAGAAAATATTCCACCTGTTAAAGAAAGCGCTTATAGAAAAAATGTTTGTACCAATTACAATGTAGGATTCAAGTTATCCAAGTCCACGGTTCGTAAAATAATACGGTTGCCTCGTAACGTCTAGCCAATCACGACACGACCTGTCGTGACGTCACAAGTATGCTGGTGACAAATTCCGAGCATATCAAGTATAATGAAAAGAATGTTTTTAATAATAAATTACATTACGGGGCAAAAGTTTAATAAAAACAATAAACAGAAATTATAATAACGTGTTTCATTAATATGATAATAACTAAAAAAGTATATTTTTTATTATTAAAACGTAAAAGGAGGTGGTATTATATGAATTACATGATCAATGTTTATTTGTACCTATATTATAATAGTTATTTTGGTTCTTAAATAAAACAAGTATTACGACAAAATATATTTAGATCAAAATAAACACAGCAAATAAAAAATGGTGTAAAATTAATAAACATTAGTTAAATAAAAATTGAAATGTAATAATACAAATAAAAAAATCAATTTACTTAAATAATTATGTCACTGTTTTTTTCATTTTTTTAGAAAATCTTCTATCTTCATCGGTGTCCCTTTTTCTTTTATTTAATGAATATAATTCTTCAGCTTTTTTTAAATTAAGGTATTTTATTTGGACAAATACCCTCTGTCGAACAAATGAATTAATTAATTTTTTTTGCCAAAAGTGGCTCTTTTTTACTAATAAAATTCGTTGTTCGATTTACAATCTTTGTCTTAATTTTAAATTTTTCTTTGTGAATATTTGGCCGCTTTTATTTACTCTCCTTTAAAGTAATATTAGGTCGAGATCGTAGCAAAATTCTACCTGTCTATCTACCTAATTTCAACCAAATAGTCGAATACTCATTTAGTTGACCTATAAGTCATCTTGAAGAAATATTTATTAACTTTGTTGTAGCAATTACCTGAAAAATCTACCACAAAGTAAATTCGACTAAAAACCACCAATTTAAAAAGAGTCATACATGACCTATTTGTAAAATTTATATTATTTAGGTTATTTTAACAATTAGGTTGTTCAGTTACTGTCTTCGTCATTATTCTTAACAATTTCGGCCATTTAAAAAAAAACCATTACAGTCGTAATCTTAATTTACGTGTGGTGTAGATAGAGCTTTAAATGAGTGCGAAAAATAATTAATAAAATGAGTTCGAAAAATAATAAATCATATCGTTATACTTCCGATTTTTATCGTAAAGTGAAACGTCTAAAATCTCAAGTGCAGAACAACGTGACCTAAATATGTTATATTTACCTATAGGTAAATTTTTTATAAAACCTATAAGTTATTATTTCTTTAAATAGGTAAAGTTAACTAATATGTCGTGAAATTGAAGTTAATTCAACTTAGTAAAAAGGTATTTGTAAAATACGTAGATTTCCTTAGTCATAATAACTTTTAGGTTAAATTCGAACAATACGCCATATTTTCTTGACATAATTGAAGTACGATTCCAAATTTAAAATTTTTAAAATGACCATAACTAAAATATACGAATGAAAATACCGAAAAACTAAACATTATTGATTTTCTAAAGTGATACACAACAAACGTAACATAGTTTTACCTCATATTATTATTATTTTTTTACACGATCATATTTTTTTCTTATATTTTTTTAATTAGAGAGTATTTTGCTGAATGAATTTCTCAACATTTTCAGCCAACTGTTTATTTGGTTCCGGGCGATATCTCTTTAAAGCTGTAGCTGTCGTATGAGATAACAGCTGAGCTGCTAAAGACACATTCTCTCTTTGTGCCTTTTCACAAGTAATATGTAATTGCGTTAACTTGTGGCACGAACTAATTTCACTTCTTGACTCATTCATTAAAGCTATAATTGGCTCCTTAGTTATTACTGTTCCATCCTCTAAATTAAAATCATGGTCAAGGAACCAATTTCTTATTAATTTTAAGGTGTGAGGTATATCAGCAAAAATATATATTTTATTTTCTGTCACTGGATGAGCAAAATATGTGTTATTAACTGTTATCTCCATTTCTTTCCAAAGCCCAATATTTCCACCTCCACAATCAGATACACAGGCCACAACATCATAGTTTACACCGTTAAGCTCTTTAATAGCATTTAGTAACAAAGACTTGGTCATTTTGTTATCAAATCCGATAAATACTGGTTGCTTGCATGAGCTACAGAGGCCTCTTGCCATTATAACCTGCATATATGAATGGGGACTAACAATTCTATCCAGCTTTTGGTCATATTCAATAAGTGATGATACTTTAATTTCATCATAAGACAGTACAGTCACCCTTTCGAAATTAGTTTTATCTTTTCCAGATATGTTCATTATTTTTAATGTATCTTTTAGTATTCCTTGTTGTAAATTAATGTTTGATGCCCATCTTTGCAGTGTTGATATACCTGGCAATGGATATTTTAATGATTCTCTAACATTTACTAAAATATCTAAACGTAAATGCCTTAGAAATTTCTTCGCTGGTCCATCTAGCTTTGGTTTTATTTTTTAATAAAATTTCAATTTGGTTTAGTGTAAAAAAATTTGCTAAAACATTTTTTAGTTTTGTATCCAACGTCTTTTGACTATGATCAGCACTTAGTTGCAATTTCTTGTTTATCCCAATAAGGTTTTCTATTTCTGCTTTGTCTTTTTGTGCTTGATTTTTAAATTTTTCGCATTGTTCTTGAAGAGCAATATTTTTTTGAAACAAAATATCATGTGGACTTTGATTACTGATATAAAATGCTGTTCGAACTACAAGCTGGCATATCCTGGGGTGAATCATTCTCTTTGAGACCTTCATCTGTTAAGAGACTTTCGACAATCCGTTTCTCCTCTTTTAATTGCATTCTCTTACTCCTTTCACTAATACTTTTTTCAGATACCTATGGAAGGTTAAGTGATGGAATAGCTAAAATATAAATACAATAAAACACTTATTTAATTCAGGCAAAATTTTATTGACAAGCTTACCTGTTTCTTTGAGTCTTTTTGGCATTTTATTTGTTATCTGAGCTTCAATCATATCTTCATATTGATCCAGCGCAAAATGTTTACTGCAGATACGTTTATTTTTTGGATCAAAGGGGCTTTTTCTTCTACAAAGACGAACCCATTGTTTTAAAATTTCCGGTTTTTTGGGGAAAGAAAAAAATCTTATTAATTCCTCATCTTTTTTTGCTCTTTCGCTATTACTTTTACACGTAGCCACACTACAAATTGTTCCAGTCATTTCTACGATAGAATATTAAAAATAAAGCTTTTCAAATTATAAATATAAATTTTTGGTTATGGTTACCTGACTATCCGCGATGAAAAAAATATAATATTTAAGTTTAATTCAAAATAGTCTATGTCTAAAGATATACTAATAAAAGTTTATAAATAAAAAAACACACGAAAACTCACAAAAACTTTAATTTAAATCACAATAAACAACAGAACAGTACAATAAAACTACGAAAACGGTCAGCAGCAGACTTCAACTCTAGCATACTTGTGACGTATGACCCGCCATCTTGACAGCAAAGTGAGGCAACCGTATTATTTTACGAACCGTGACCCAAGTCAGATACTTGTAAAACGTGCAACGAGATGAAGATAAAAATTGATACTTTGAAGCAAAACTACAATGCAAAAGAAGTGCAAGAACTAACCAGAACACTAGAGATTCATAATATCAGAGCTAAAGCAATGCAAGGCTTGCTTAAATTGGAAGTAGATAGCTCGAAACGTGTTGAAAATAAGTTAGTAATATTATTCGACTTGCAGCAGGCCATACCAATACCAAAATTAACAACAGGACCTGCGTTCTATTGCCGCAAAATTCTCTATATTCTCGGAGTTCATGATTGTACGAATCAGAGTGGTTAGATGTATTTATGGTCGAAAGCTCAAGCTAAACGAGGTGCTGACGAAATTATATCCGCAGTATAAAAATTTTTGAAAGATAATAATTGTGGGATGTGTATCTCGGACAGGTAGGTTATTAAAACACTAATTAATTAACTGAATTTACTAAAACAACAAATAATATACACGTCGTGATTGTAATAATATAGAGCGTCGTTAATGGTCGTTATAATAATAATAATTTAGGTATCGTCGTAATATTCACACGTCGTTATGGCCAAATTGCCACTTGTAACTGTTCCGGCTTTGGGCAGGTCGAAGGTAGGTTAAGCGGCAGACGATGATGTAATCAGAAGGGGAGGCGGGAGACGTTGTAGTTGAAGACGTTGGCTTTGTTTACGCGTCATTGGAGGCGTGTATGCCAATGGCGTTCCCACAGTTCGGCCGTCCTGTATGTCATCGGTCTCCGCTGACCTGGATTCATCATCTTGCTCACTGTGGGTGGTACTATTATCGTCGTCATCGGGGATCCATTGCTTTATATATTCGCTACAAGTTGAGGTATGTACTGGAGCGTCGTGGCATCCAACCTTGTCGACATCGTAACAGTTGTTGTTTTTAACCTTGGTAATACGGTAGGGACCAAAGTATTTCGGTTTAAGTTTGAGTCCTGGGCCTAGTTGGGTGCAACTAGCCCAAGTAACATTTTTAGGAGAAACAAGTTTTATTCATGTTTTCTTAGGATTTTATAATGGCATAAAAATTAATAATTGTTTTATTAAAGTTATTTTTTGCTAATAGGACTGTAGGATTATTTTATCTTATTGCTTGAGTTTATAGATTTCTTTAAATCTACTTAAGAAAACTATTTTATCCTAAAGTAAACTATGCTTTATCGTTGTCCTATAAGGGTTAGTTAATAAGTAAATTTAAAACTATTTATTCTGAATATACTCCTAAGATGTGTTTGGTGTTAACAAGGCACAATCTTAAGTAGGTCTTAAAACTTAGTTTTAAAAAGTGTTTTAGGATTATACTTTAAATTAAATTGATCCTAGAACCGTTTAGGTAAATTTTCTGCAATTTTACAACATAAATCTTATCATTTACTCAATCTAGTAAACGATAGGGCTGTTTTAAAACTACATAATTTTAATAAGAACTAAAGTTTATTTTATAGTATAACAGTTCAACCCAATCACATTACGTTGACATTGCAAGATAAATTGCTTAAAATAAAAAAAAGTGATGACTTCCATAGAAAATGGAAAAAAAAATTTGATTAATACACAAAATGTTGCTCATTCTCAGTGTTTAACAAATTTATCATGTGCCGTTGTCGAACAAATACCAAATAAACATTCTGAGGCCCCCAATATTCTAGAAATGACCAGTGACAGAGAAAAATGGTTAATAGAAATGGAAAATTATGAAGAAGAATAAGGTGATGATTATTGTGATAACAAAAATAACAATTTTAGAACAGAACTTGGGCGAAAACAGATTTAATATAAAACATAATGCTTTGAAAGTCTTACTAAAAACTATTAACAGAAGACTTCCCACTCTTTTACCTTAAGATCCTCAAACTTTTTTGAATACACCTCGAAGATTTCTATGTTTTGGCAGATAGGAGAAGGACAGTACTGGAACCAAGGCTTAAAAGATTGTTTAGAGAAAGTATGCTCATATTTAGATGTTCCAAATCTAATTTCTATAAATATTAACATTGATGGTTTGTCATTACATAGAAGTTCAAAGGATGAGTTTTGGTCGATTCTTTTTAATATCCATGAAGTACCAAACTTAGAACCAATGATAATCGGTATTTACATTGTGTAGCGGAAATGACAGAAACATTTAGGGAAGAACTTATTACAGGAACTCAGTTAAAGACAGTAAAAATCAGATCTTTTATTTGTGATTCCCCAGCTCGAGCTTTTATAAAAGGTAAATCAATAAATATAAACTTCAAGTAGGTATCTAAATCATATTTGTATTAGGTGTGGCGAATTTTAATTCTCAAAATGGTTGCCAGAAGTGTACAATAGTTGAACAGTATTCTTACGTATCGCATACCAATTACTATCCTCGAAGGATATGTGCCAAACGAACTGATTATGAATTTAGACAAAGGCTATATGATATTCATCACAAAGTTTACTCTCCTCTATTACAGCTACCTATAGATATGAAACAAGATGTTCCCATTGGTGATTACCTGCACTTGTTAGACCTTGGAATTATGAAGAGATTGCTTTGTGCTTTGCGTGATGGAAATTTTGGAAATTACCGAACTAAATGGCCAGCACGTGACACGCAAGACATAACAGAATTTCTTATGAATACGAAACTACCAAAAGAATTTCACCGAAAAGTGAGAGAATTAGATGTACTGGCATTTTGGAAAGGGTTAAAGTTCAGAACATTTATGTACTATTTAGGAATCGTTGTTCTAAAGCATTTTTTACCATCTGAAGTTGAACATTTTTAAATATTTTTCTGTACCGTTACAATTTGTTCCTGTGAAAAATATAATAATCTCTTAGACATCGTTCAAAGTATGCTTGATTATTTTATCGAGTATTTTGGTGACATATATGGCGAAGACTATATTACCAGTAACGTTCACAACTTAAGTCATTTGGTAGATGATGTGAAAAAATTTGGAATTCTCTCCAGATTCACTTCATATCCGTTTGAAAATAAATTGTATACTATTAAAAACTGCATTCGATCAGGCCACAGACCTTTGGCTCAAATTGCTAAAAAACTTGGTGAATTAAGTGAAGAAGTTCCAATTATTAAGCATAAACATCAAAATTTTTCGGTTTTGAAGAAACCTTTTTTAAAGAAAAGACTAATACAAAATGACAAAGAAAATGAACTATATTTTTCGTATATTAATCTAAAAGAATCTATATTAGAAGCTTGAAAAGAAAATCAATGGTTTCTATCATGTAATAATGAAACAGTTTCTGTAAAGTATGTGATATAAAACGTAATGACACTCAGGTGGAAATATTTTAATACAAACTGAAAACTTTTTTGAGTAGCCAGTCTCTTCTTCATATTTTAACATTTATGACTCCAACTGTTTTGAAAGTGATATCAAGGAATTTTTTATAAGTGATATTAAATGCAAACTAGTGGCAATTTTAGTTAGTTTAATTTTTAATTTTACTTTTATAATGCACATTTTAATCAGAAAAGTTTCAATATTACACCCATTGCTTGAATAAAATAATTATACCAATATAAACAAAAACCCTTAAAAAAAAAATAAAATAGTACTTACATATCACAAAATAAACAACTTACAAATAAAAAAAATTAACTAGTCACTGTCTTGTTCGTCTTCGTGTTCATTGTCTTCCTGTTCGGCCTCTTGTTCTGCAATTTGTTTGCTTATTCTCTGAATATTCAAAATCATTAGCGTCCAATGAATGATTACATTTTTCCAACTTTCTAACGATGCTTGAAATTTAGCTTGCTGTTGGATCAAATGTTCTGATTGTCTAATATTTGTTGAAAGTTGAAAGATTTAACCTCTTGTACTTGATTAACATCATCAATGACAATAAAATCTTGGTTGTGAACTACATTGTCACTTAGAGTTGAAGAACTTGGTGACTAAAATACAAGAAACTTTGCGGGCTCTACAGAATCTGCGGATTCTCCATAATCTGTGGGTTCTCCATAATCTGTGGGTTCTCCAAAATCTGTGGATTCTCCAAAATCTGTGGATTCTCCAGAATGGGCAGGTTCTCCAGAATCTGCTGGTTTGACATTGAGTTATGAATATTCTAAAAAAATATATTATATCTTCTAATAAACTATTATATTATATACCTGAAGTATTTGAATACTTTTGCTTCTTCCAGATTTTGATGCAATTTCCATTTGTTTTTTGCCTTTAAATTTTGATTCACCCTCCTGTAAAAAAAGGTTTTCAATAACAACTTTTATAATGTTAAGAATGATGTAAATATAGAAAAACATCTAATATTTTATAATAAGTATCTAACTGAATGGTAAAAACCAAAAATAATTATACATAAATGTATCTAGGCATTCTACCTATGTGCCTACCTAGTTAATTTGATGTAAAATATCGAAGAAAATTTTTATTACTGAAAAATAATTACTTCCTACTGAAAATGTAAAATTTACAATACCTAGGTACCTACCATTAGATGGTTTAAATCAAGAAGAATAGATTTTTCATCAGAAATGTCAATTTTCATAATCATGAATTCATCGTCGATTCTATTTATCTTTATACCGTCTATATTGATGATAAGTTCTGTATGGCTTAATAAGTCATTACCAAGAATCATGTCATAGTTCATTACATTAGATGGGACAACGTGGAAGTTGGTGATGAATTGTTAATTGTTGATGTCTACTGGGCAAGTGAAACATCCTTTAGTCGTGACTTGGGATTTTCCAAATCCGGAGAGTAAAATATTTTTATCTTCTAACTTTGGTATGTTAATGGATTCGTAAAAATTTTGTTTGACTAGATTTACTTGACTGCCAGTATCTATCAGTGCATGTGTTTTAAAATAATTGACAGAAATAGCTTTAAATAATCTATTCTGCTTTGGAGAGCTAACTTCGTTTATTTCGCTTACTCGGTTGCTACTCGTAGGACAGCGCACGTAGTGCGACTCGTGTTTTCGGAACTTTGACCATACTTAGGACAGTTGGTACCTTTGTGCCCAAATAAATTGCACCTAAAACATTTTAGACTGTCTGCGGATTTGTGTGCTGGTCTACCACAATTAAAACATTTTATTTGTCGTTTTTGAGAAGTAGCGTTTGAATTTTCGACATCGTTATTTCGGTTTTGGGGAAATTGAGCTTTGAAATTATTAGAAATACCTGCGTTGTTTGGCGGCTTTGAAATTTTAATTTTCATTCCACTATAAATTCGTAGCTTTGTTTTAAATTCACTAATCGTTTCAGCACCGTACAAAATAAGTTCATTTGAATGTTCATCACGAATACCATCAATAACATATTGCATTAAAGCTTCATCTTCGATTGCACCTCTATTAGCGATTTCTTTCATCGTAAGAAAATATTCGTGAACAGTTTCGTCGCGGCGCATTTTTCGTTCAGCTAAAAATCTATGCAGTTCAGCACTATTGATTTTAGAAGAAAATTCATTTTTAAAAAAAAATTTAGAGAGTTCCACGAATTAATAGTTTAGCTAACCCTGTTAATGATTTTTTTGGCAAATATAAATGCATGTAAATCACTCCATCCTAACAAAGTAATAATATTTTCGAAATCTATAATCCACTTTTTCACTGGATAGTCTTTGGTACCATTAAACGGCTCAATTGACTCTTCTAACGTCACTGGCGCATTGAAATTTGAATTTGAACCAGAATTTTGTGCATTAGAGCGAACACTTTGCCCGGAGTATTGCGAGCGAGTACGTGCCTGTGCTGAAGGCACATTCTGTACAAATCTGTCTGAGGCGGGCGGTGCGCTAGGGGTGCGTTTAAAAACTTAATCAGGATTACAATCTAGAGTAATGGCAGAGTAATGTTAAGTGACAATATAGAAGCTCGGAGATGTGTTTTATACCAGTTTTAATGATAGTTTAAAAAATCACTCTAAGCCACTTATGTCAAATGTCTATTTTTTGTGGTAATTCGTGCTTTGCGTTTGTTTTGTGGTGTTTGGTATTGTTTAGTTTAAATTTAAAATAGTTTTTTGCCCATTAATAAAATGCAAAGTGCAGTGGTAGTATATAAGTTCGCATATTACATTTTAGATTTATTTAATGTTTGTAAACTTTTATTGTTTATATTTTGTAAATTTATAGTTTTTTGTTTAATACCTTAAGAAATTATATATGAAAATTTTCAATATTTATCAAGACTCCCTTAACCCACTCCAACAATTTAACTACCCCAAACAGAATATGAGTATACATTATTTTTTTGCTATTTTGTAACCCTATTCAGAATAAAAAAATAATGTTGATGTAGGTTAAGACTTAATTTACACCACCATATCTCAGTAACAAAACAGCTAATAATTGTGTTTTTGGTTCTACTTTTGATCTTCATTCTATATGCTTATTCATAAATGTGGACCCATATACAGTGTCCACAGATGGAGTTAACTATACTTGTAAAAAATGTATTTTTAATTTTTCAAAAGGTCATTATTCTTAGTTTATTTTGGTTTTTATATAAGTAATTCATCTGAACCGCTTAAATTGCCAGAACCATCCACTTCTATTGCTTCTACGAGCAAATTTGACGAGTTACTCTTTTTTTCATCAGATAATCAACAAGTTAGCACTCCTGTTAGTGATGCAATTATAGATATTAGGCAATATATAGAGAAGCTAGTAATTGATAGAGGTACTTCCCCACTGGAATATTGGCACAAATCTAGCAGTACACTTCGGGAATTAGCATTCAAATATTTGAGTATACCTGCTACCTCGATGCCAAGAGAGCGAATTTTTTCAAAGGCAGGTGATATTATGACGAAAAAAAGAAACCGGCTTAAAGGTACTTTATTGTTGATTAAACACAATTATTCATTTTTCAAAACTTAAAGTAGACACCCATTTTTATAGGAAATAAAAGTTTTCTCAGTTTACTTTGCTTTTTGATCTTTTCAAATACCTACCTTTTAAAACTATTGATAGTACATCGATACTATTGATAGTTTTCATCAAAAACTATCGATACTATCAAAAGCTCTGACTATCGATGTTTATGCAACACTAGCAGGTCGAAGGTAGGTCAAGCGACAGATGATGATGTAATCAGAGGGGGACGCAGGAGACGTTGTAGTTGAAGACGTTGGCTTTGTTTACGCGTCATTGGCGGCATGTATGCCAGTGGCGTTCCCACAGAATGATATTGATGAACTTATAGTTTTTACGGACAACTGTCCAGGCCAAAACAAAAATTTGCAAATTATATATTTTTGGCTTCAACTGATTAAAGAAAAAAAAATTAAACAAATTACACACCATTTTTTGGTGAGCGGTCACACTCATTTGCCCTCTGTTAAAGTAGAGAAACCTGAATACTTCTTTATTAAACACACAATAAATGGGGAATATATGGAAATTAACATTTTAAAAAAGGAAGACCAGCAAGTGCTAAAACCCTATCTGACATCATCAAAAAAAAGTACACCGAGCCAATAAAAATTGCCGAAAATAAATTAGCTAACATTCAGACATTTCTGCCATATATTCCGCCTATTTCTCACCCATTTTATAATCAGGTAAATGGCAACTAGTAATTTGGAAAACCCAGACGAAGTTGTAAAAATATTTGACGAATAAGAGCCACCTACCGTTTTATTAAACTTACAAGAAGTTTTTTTCAAATACCTGTTTTAGTTTCAATATCTATATTTTTCTCATATTTAACTTTGTAAGAAGTTTTGTAATAAATTTTGTTCTCTTGAATTGAGTAGTTATTGTTTTACCAAAAAAGTGATAAG